CGATATGATACCGGGACAGCACTCGCGGAACCCCTGGACTAAGAATTAAACTGGGTGAGTCTTTTAATAATAATTATTATAAATAGGACTTTTATTGCCACAAAAACAAACTACAAATGGAATCATACATACATAAACCTTGATGCCAGTAAAAAAATGTGGCAAAAGGCGGCAAACTCAGCTAATGCAGAGAAGGCACAGATCGCTACTGCGCTGATTTTCAGCTGGCCCCTTTACACACAGGTATTTCTACATCAGTTTCGTGACTTAACCTTGAGACATTAAAAAAGAATAACACAATGTTTCACTTACATAAACTTAAATATGTACAATGTAATTATTAGATTCCGGGTAACTGATGTAGAAACACAAAAATCTAGGTATGATTTATTAATATAAATCAAAACAAGCTTTAAAATAATCTAAATTAACATAAGTAACAAAGTTATATGTATATATCTATAGGCAACTGAAAAGAGTTTATAATAGTAACGCAATACATCTCTTTCTACGTCTACCTCTGTTACAACTATTTGGAGGATGTTTTCTGTTGGACCGATCGGCTCCTGAGACTATTTCCCGTTGAACCGATTGAATCCATAGAATAAATCATGTCAAAGAAGGAATGGGGAGGGAAAGTGGATTTGACGACAAAGGGAACGCATAAATTTCAAAGGGAATTGGAAAAAGCCGTCGATTGAAGCAAATGTTCAAAATAAGTCACATTGTGAATGAATTCGTATAACAAATAGCCTAAACATACAATATGTTTTTATCATAAATTGATTTAATCGCCACCTCTTTTACAGATGGGAAAAGATATGAGAAGAAATTGAGAAATTAAGTTAAGATATTTTGAGTTTTAAGTGATAAGCTAGATAGACATTGAACTTAGTTAATATATTTTAAAGTTTGTGTTCTTTACATATGTTCTAGCAATTTTTATGTTTTTTTCTGATAAGATAAGTAAATATACAAAAATCAAACACGTAGTTATACAAGTAAGATCACTACTGATGATGTCGATATTCGTTGATTATTCTAATTGTTCAATAAAAAGAATTGTACATTTGTTCGAGTGTCTTTGACAGTAAAAACGCACGGTTGTGCTATTTAAGGGGTGTTTCCCGTTGGAATGTATTTTTTCCTGTTGGGCCGTTCGGTACAAAACACTCAATTTTAATTGAAAATATTAACGATTGTAATGTAATAGAAGTTGCTAGAACATTTTGTATGTTTAAAAATAATTTTGTCATAAATATATTGCACAATAAAATACGTAAAATCGTTTAGGGTAAGAGGTAATGTGGCTAGATATTGTCGGAATAAAAATCGTGTGTTTTTAATATAATATTGTAATTTCATTTTATATGACTTATCTAAGATTGGTAATAAAATAATCTATTGAATATATTGTTTTATTGATTTATATACGTGCTATAACATTTTCACTTATACATGTAACGGTGAGTTTCTGTAGTAACGTAATATTGCTATCCCCTTCACTCTCTTTGAGATAGACAGAGACAGCATATCCTGTTTATATAACGAAAGTTGAATTAAAAGATTACAATTCAACTTTTTAACATGACAGCTGATGATACCAGATTCTGAAACATAAAATACAACAATTTTAATTAAAAGGTAACAGTAACTTTTAAAAGATTTCCAGATTATAGAAAAAACTTAGTTAAAGCAAAATATTAAAATAACTAATAACTGAACTTAAAAGTAGTGGTTTCTTAATGTAGAATTAGTATGAGAAAGACCAAGGGACAGTCAGTGGCCAATTAACGACCCTGATTGTGAACCAGGCCCAGGCCCACCCGCGGCTGTAGTGCCTCAGAAGAAGAAGATTGTGAACTAAGCGACTATTAGCTCCTTTGGCAAAGCCCCTTAGTAAAAATAAGTTAAATATCCCGATATTTTATGTAGTTTATAGAGAAAAATAATACACTTGACTTGTAATTGATCTTGGGTTCGAATCCCGCTGTACTGTTATTTTCGAATTCAATACATTTACCCGATATTACGATAAAGGAAACACATCGCTATATTTAATATTTGAAGAGATATGTGCGAAGTCAAGAAGTGGGCCTACATTAACTTAGACTTCTAGGTCATTGGATACAGCTGATGGGTATATCATACCTCATGTGCCTCCAAATATTCAAGGTCAGTATCAGCGCCGAGAATCTTCACAGCGTCCAGGATCACGTTAACCACCAACTTAACGTTCTTAGCGAACAACTCCAGGACTTCGCTCACCGACACCTTGCAGTACAGGGGGATTAACGGATTAGAATATGTGGAGGTAAAGAATAGCTATCGTTTAAGCCCAAACTATCATCATCCTTATTCTACTCCCGTAGTGGCGCAACGGGTTTTTGTCCTCCACATAACAGTGGTAGTGCCCGCTTTAACATCTTAGCACTGCAGGGCCGGCACGTCCGGTGTAATACCACGACCACACAGAAGACAGGCGTCAAATGGAACCTATTCCGTGTTTCGTCTGATGAGTGTGGTGCCGGAGCCCTAATTTAAGTCCCTTTCTCTTGCCACCCTTTTCTTATAAGGAGAGGAAAGGAGGGGAAGTGGATTTGACGGTGGAGGAGATGCATAGGAAGGGGAAATATCCTTTTTATGCGAGTCTCCTTCGTTGAATAAGGGTAGGCAACGCATCTGCAATTGCGGATGTCTATGGGCAGCGGTTTCGCCATTTTGATGGATTCAGGTGGCCGGTTTTTCGTTTGCCACCTTATGTTATAAAAAAAAAACTATCATACGTCATCTCAGTCACTCCCTTCTTGAAATGGTCACCTTTCACGTAATCCATCCATCTCTTTCTAGGTCTACCTATACCAGTGTACCTATACACTCATAACTAACGTTCTCCTTGTAACATGCGATTCATCTCTCCTCATAACATGCCCATACCATGCCAACCTTTTACTCCTCACCTTCTATACAATAGCCCAAAACTATATTTCTTGATTTATAGTAGTTTTCAACTTATTTTTATGTAAAAATCTTGAACGATAACTATTTTAACAAAGCTTTTTATGCATCTATTAAGAATTATCCTGTATATTTTGACATATACAAGTTGATTTACAAACAATATTGAAGACATGAACTGGGTATTTTATTTACATAAAGATCTCTAGACTGAATAGACCACGTAGGAGTATTATAGACTACCTTTTTTACAAGTAACAGAGATCAGTCGCATGAATATTGTGACGTCATAGTTCACAAATCGTAAAATAAGATGTAACTACTGCGTTTAGGTATTTAATAGTCTGGATTTTTTCTTTGTAATAAACTTATGGGTATCACGGATGTTTTCCGTTGAACCGATTGATAAGACGGTCCAACGGGAAACATCTCGACTTTTAGTCAAATAGGAATCGACTTACAGATTCCTCATGTTTCCTCCAGCAGTCGTAATCAGTGACGAGAGCGACGGCCGCGTAGCTCAGCCCAGCCTCCTTCGCTAGAACCACCTGAATGCAAATACAAAAAATGTACAAAGTGGTATTCTATTTATATCTATACATATATTAAAATTGTAGTGTCTGTTTGTGATATCAAAAGAAAAATTCCAGATTTCAGGAAGATAATGTATTTGCGTTGCTGATAACGGAAATTGCTTTATAAAAAATTGTCTGTCTGTCCACAAGCCGTGTTTGTTTTAGGTAATCTTGGAAACGGCTGAGCCGATTTCGACGGGACTTTCACTGGAGGGAGCTGACATATTATAGACTACTTTTTTTTTTAATTCCGCTTTGTCAAAATGGCGACCGGAGCGCTATCTCTATAACGGGTGGGTCTATTTGGACGGGACTTCGATTGGACGGTAGCTGTTAAAATGTAGGTGAACATGGGAATGTTCTGCGCTACCAAAGTTTGCGGGCGAGAGCTCGTAAAATATAAAATGCAATACCTCAGGAACAGTGGTCATGTTAACGAGATGTCCACCCCATTGCTGGTGCATGAGACTTTCTGCACGACTCGAAAACCTTGACAAATGTAATTAAGACTTTAAATAAGCGACTCAATACATCCCTCTAACAATGTTCTTTACTTGAAATTTAAAAAAAAACGAATGCACAAAAACATTCATAGGAATATAAAAGAAAGCCTACTTTTACAATTCTACGTAAATCTAAATTATTCTTAAGTAACGTATTGAAAAAAGACTAATGCGCTTAAGAACTTAGGCTATAGCTGCAGGCTAACAAATTCATCATCATCACCAGCTCACTATACGTCCCCGCTGAGGGGCTCGGAGCCTACCCTAAAGTAAGGAAGACTAGGCTATAGTCAACCACGCTGGCCCAGTGCGGGTAGGTCGACTTCACACATATCTTTGAATTTCTTCGCCGATATGTGCAGGCATCATGATATTTTCCTTCACCGTAAGAACGTCGAGTAAATTATGTACATAATGAAAATTCGAAAAAATTGAAAATCACATTGGTACGGCGGGATTCGAACCCAAGGCCTGTAGATTACAAGTCAAGTACTTAAACCACTGAGCCTCTGACGCTCTAACAAATTAGTGGAATTATAAAACAGTGAAAAACATAGCCTTTGTTAGCCGTAGCTTGTGTTAACGTTGATTTTTATCATGAAAGGATTAATATGTACAAAAATGGAAACATACATTTTTTTTTAACATTAGTATAGATAGCATTCATATTTCAAATATAATTACATTACCTCGGTCCTTGTATAACGACAGCGGTGCCTGTCTCGTGATGTTTGTACCCCCTCAGTCGGGCCGCTTCAGCCAGCGCGCGGCGAGATCGCGGACAGAACGCGGGCACCATGGGCAAGTGACACACGCCCTTAGGGCCGCCCTCAGTGCGGTCGTAGAACGTACACTTCCTACCCCATGTGCTGGAACAGAAGTATGGGTGTAGTGTAAAAAATATCCTTTAATATAGATGAAAAAAGCTGATGGTAGAGAAATTTAAAAGCAAAAAACAGTAAAAAACAATAGGAAGACCGAAGAAAGTATAGATGGATTGTGAGAAAGAGGATATGCTTAAGAAGGGAGTGAATTCAGATATGATGGTTAGAATTTCTAGGTAAAATAATTTACATTAACACTAGCAACTGGTTCTATATCCCTAAAATGTAAATTGAACTATGCACATACCGGTCAATGAAGTCGTCCAGTATAACAAGGTCCCCGGGCTTGTATTCCTCTACAAGCGAGCCGGTGGCCGTGGTAGCGAGCACATGCGTGCAGCCCGCCTGCTTCAGCGCCCAGATATTGGCGCGGTAGTTCACATCACTGTTAAAATATAATAATATAAACAATAATGCATCTAATTAAAAAAAATGCGAATGTTAAGATGGATGTGTGGGGTAACACGAATGGAAAGATACGAAATGAGTATATTAGAGGAAGTTAGAGTAGCCACAGTTAAGAAATTAAGAAAGAAAAGGTTAGCGTGGTATTGGCATGTTACGAAGAGGGATGAATCGCATGTAAAGAAGGTTAGTTATGAGTGTGGTACACCGGTAGAGGTAGACTTAGAAAGAGATAAGCGTGTAAGGTGACATGATCAACGGTGTCATGAGATGACGCATGATAGAGTTATGTGGAGGACAAAAACCTGTTGCGCCACTAAGGGAGTAAGATGAGGACGAAGATGTTATATTCATGAACAATTGAAGAATCTCGCGGTCTCTGACAAATAACCAATTAGACAATAGCGAGTTCCAGACGAATAGAAAAGCAATTAACCACGTACCACTGACCGTTAAAAGATGTCGTGTCATGCGTTGTTTGATTGTTACCTATAAATTACCTAGGCTGATATTGATGTTTCCTGCCGTGTCTCGACAGCAGCACACACGGTACTCCAGCTATCTGTCCACTCCGTAGTACATCCGAAGGTTTCCCGAACGGCGTACTCAAATCTAATTCTATAGGATTTTCGAACAAATAGGGATCGTCAAAACCCGATCCACCGATGATACCAATCTGTAATTGGTATTTTATCTATTTACTGGTTTAGAAATAATCATACTAATATTATAAATGCTAAAGTTTAGATGGATGGATGTTTGTTAGAGTTTGTAGCCAAATCTGAACGGATTTCTATGAAATTTCGTATGATGATAGTCTGAAAGAACACATAGGCTACTCACTTTTGTACTACATACTTCGACATTTAGTTAAGTCTTGAATCCTAATGAAAAGGATAAATAAAACAAAGTTTTTTAAATGGTTTATATTTCTATTTATCAACAGTTTTACTACATACTAACATCATATAATTAATTTAGTTCATTAAAAAAAAACAAAGACGGCATACAATAAAAAGAAATAAAAGCAACTATTTACTTGAAAGTGCTATACAATACATAAAATATTGGTGTCTTGTAAATGCAATTTGTCATTCAAACTCATATTTCATACATGAATATCTTTTCTAAAACAAATCTATTGTTTATCATCCAAACCTTGTTGAAACTTAATTTCTTTAGCCGTCTCATGAGCGTTCTTTAAACTTTGTGCCAATTGGAAGAATTTCTTAGATTTATCTAAATCCTGTTCCACTCCGTCACCTTTTTTATACATCAAGCTGACATTAGCACAAGCAAATACATTACCATATTCACATCCTTTCATTGCGTAATCAAATGCTCGTTTTTGATCTGGTTTTATCAAATAATCAATGTTTTTATTCTTTTCCGGATTATGGGGATTGAAATCGGCCACGTTTTTCGGTACTCCAGTTAAATACATCCCTGATAGGTAATGACATGCCATATCATCTCTCGCATCGCAGCTTTTCTTCAAATAATTGTAACCTAAAAATTTTAAGTATCGTATAATATAAAAAAATATTTTGCACAAGCATGACACAACTATAAGACAATAAATATGTGATTTTATATTTCTGTCAAGTTTTTTTTTTACCTTATCATCACAAGAAAATGATAGCAGATGCGAAAGTTAAGATAGATGTGTGGGATGACATGAATAAGGTACACAATGAGTATATTAGAGGAAGTGTGAAAGTAGCCCCAGTGGTAATGATAAGGAATTAAAGGTTAGCATGGTATGGGCACAATTGCAGAGGGATGAATTTCATGTAACAAGAAGGATATTAGTTATGAAGGGGTACACAGGTAGAGGTAGACCTAGAAAGAGATGGATGGATTGTATGGACGTTGACATGATCAAGAAGGGAGTGATTGAGATGACAGATGATAGTCATTTGGAGGACAAAAACATGGAGAGCCAACCCTAGGGGAATAAGACAAGGTAGGGATGATAATAAGAAAATGTTAGGAATTTTTACTTTTAAGGGAAGGGAAGTATATGTGATTCTGTTTCTTCTTCTTCTATGCAGTTTGCATAGAGGAATTTAATATCTTTGACAAGAAAACAATTATATAATCACATTTTTAATTGTCTGATAACAATAGTTGTAAAAAACTTAAGAAGAATAGACATCTTAACTTATGTCAGTTTCACATTTTTGTCATAGGTCATCATATTGAATTAGATAATGTTATTAGATGAAAACTCTACTGTTATTTTAGCTTTAAAACATATAAATACATTACACAGAAATATTGCATGATTGTTATTTACCTTTGGGAACATCTCTTTGTACAGTAACTCCTGGTCCAGTTGCAGTAAGAAGTACACCAGCATGTAGGCATGATGTGGAATCATTTAGTTCACAACCTTTTTCAAAAAAATCCAATGCTTCTTTAGAATCAGGATTGTCTTTCGCGCGTCCGATAAGTGCGTAATTACCATATTTAGTACAAGATTTACCATACTTATAGTCCAAACAGTTGGTCTTATAAACAGTAGCCGCTTTTTTGTAATCTTTTTTTATTGCTTCTAAGTAATCAGCCAGAAGATGACAAACTTCCGGTTTCTTTTCATGATAACAGCCGAATCTATATTCAATACCTAAGTTTTCAATGTATTGTTTAACATCTTCCTCTTTTTGTAGGTCATAAGACATTGTTGGATTTAAAATTTCGAGATTTTGTCATAGGTTGCAGAGGTTAGAAATATTAGATAACATCACAGTGTCAACATGATAACGCTTATCAACTATGTCAACTGAACAACTTATATGATAAAGTACTTAAAATAAAACTTCTAAAATTACTAAATTTGTAGAATGTCATTAAAATTGTAATTAATTTCAACATGCACATATTATTATTAATAAGATATTTGATAAAAATATTTATTTTAATAGTAGAAATGCGAAACTATTTACCTTAATTTTCTTTGTGTTTCCCATAATGTTTTAAATAAAAGTGAAAGACACAGATTTCAGACAAATGTGACTAAATAAATTATTAAATTAAACTGGTTTTACAAAAATATAGTTCTTTACAAAATTATTATTTTAATAAATAGTTCCGGTTCGGCCCGGTACACAGATGATAGATTTGTTTGTACTAAAGCACAGATTGTATGATGGACCCTAAACTGTATACTGTATACCTTGAAAACATTCCACATCTCCTATCAATCTCATATCCACTGTTGAGCAGTTCCTATTTTAAGAAAAATAACTGATTACATATATAAACACAGTTTTAGACAAATTACATTGGTTTGAATTTAAGAAATTGTAACTTTGCTTTTTGTAATCTCCATACGATTTGTCAATGTCATATGTCAAAACATTTCAACTGTCAATTCGATTAAAACTATTTTTGGGAATTGCTGTGTTTTTAATTACAAATGTACTATTTTTCTTCATATTTTAACTAAATGTACTTCTCATAATGTCACTATTACAAACAATTTCCTATACTGAATATCAAAAAGCTTTAGCTCTAAATATCGAATCATGTGAAATGTTAGCAAAACTTGCAGATTTGAAGTAATATATCTTCAGTTTTTCCGTGATTATTTTATATTTATTATACTACGTACTATTTTTCAAGAGGATTTGACCTATTTTAACATATGTTTCGCAGATTGAATTTCCAAAACAGTAAAAAACCTGGGGAAGTTTTGATGAAGTCTCTGGACCGATGTGGTTACTCTGTACAACAATATAGAAAATTATTGACCGCAGCATTGAACACGAAAACAATATTGATTTACTATAAACCTCAAAGCAAGGTAGCAATACTCATAGGAAACAATAAATACAGTCAATTGACTAAACTTGTTACACCAACAATTGATTGTGATTCTTTAGCTTCTAATTTAAAGAGATTAGGTTTTATAGTTATTATATTAAAGAATTTGACTGCAGCTGAATTGAAATCATATTTATCGAGAATATTTGAATTGATTCCAGAAGATTCTTATAGTAAGTTATTAGTATTGGTGTTAATATCTTAGTAATATGCCAGCAACAACTGTTGCATAGGACAGATAATACATTTATGGTTGTCTATTAATCTTGGGTAGTATACATACAATGTACTAAAAAGTAATGTTACTTAGCACTGTACTAAAAGTAACATTACCGAACAGCTTCTGTTAATCAGACATTTGGCACTTTTAGTACACTACACGATATCAGTGTTTGCCTCTTCATTGTTTGATTGTATTGAATATTTGCCAGTTTGAAGCATCCACCTTCAGTAATGAGAATCATAAGTGGATAAAACTATTTAAAACTTAAATTAACATATGTTTGACCCTATTTAAGAATTGATGTGAAGGAATCTGTAACTTTCGTTATATTCTATTCATGTTATTGTTTCACGAATCTGAAGTACTAAAGGTACTAAAAGTGTGTACTAGTATGTCTTACCTATTGTACTAGTGTGGTGCGCACTTGCAGATGTCTGATTAAGCACAAGACTATTGTCTATTGGTAGTCATTTCTTTGCTATGTAGGCTTATTCAATAGGCCACTTACTAATTTGCTACTTAATGTTATAAAATAAATCTTTAAATACATTTTTATATTCATGGTTACAAAATACTGAAATTTTAGAAATAAGGTTGTGTATTAATCTTTATGGTTAACATATAATTTACTAGTAATTTAAATGGTAATTGCAGCATTTATTTTCTATGCGGGTCATGGGTGTGAGATATGCAATACAAGATGTTTACTCTGTGTGGATTGTCCTATAGAAGATATTAATATAGAACATTGTGTGACGGAGAATTGGATGCTTAGAGAAGTGGCTAAATGCAAGCCAGAATTATGTATCTTGATCTTAGATATGTGCAGAAATGTTTTAGATAGGTAAGGTAAAATTTTTATCTCTAATTTGTGAGGAATAAATAAACAATTTTTGCTGCTTTATAGTTTTACTAATGTTTTTAATGCAGATGTTTGTTGGCGTATCTTCTCAATGGTGTAGATTGAAATTTTTCACAAATGTAGAATAGTTTGATGTGATAGATGACTTTTAAAAAAAAAATCCACTCTACCAAAGTTTGTTGATAGCTCGTACCAAATATAAGTTCTGCAGCTTTTAAAAATTACTTTTTTATAGGTTTGCAAATCCCAAAATCTACACAGCAATGACGACAGTTGAAGAGTATACAATCCATCGTAATTTATTAATAAGTTATTCTACTCAGTCATCTGAAGTTGCTTACGAGTTGTTGCAAATTGAATGTTCTACAACCATAGACTATACCTATGAAGTAAAGACGGGTGACACAGATAAAATTATGCCCGGTGCGAGTTTATATGCAAATGCTTTGTGTACGAGATTGGTTGAGAACTTGGATGTCAGTTCAATGTTGGATAGAGTACATGGTGGTAAGTATATCTTTCTATTATAAATGCGAAAGTTTAGATGGATGGATGTTAGAGTTTACCTATATAAGCTCTTTTCTATGAAATGTGGCATATATGTATATGATTGTCTGGAAGAACACATAGGCTACTTAGTTTATATTAAATTCATGCGGATAAAATCTCGAGCAGATGGTTTAATAAATTTATTGCTATAACGAAGGTTCCATTATAGTATTTTGTGATGCTTTAACACCTTTCATGCCACTAATTTTTATTATACTAATCAATGAAATTTGTTAATTCCAGATATGGAAACTGGTATAAAACGACAAAGGCCTATAAAAGTACAATGTGGAGTCTCCAAGAGGTCTTTATATGATCCTGTTAAAGGTATATTTATAAGATTCTTTTTTTCATATTTGTATGTCCTTTAAATTTTGATACTGTCAAGTGTTTAAACAGAAAATCACTGTATTTAATTACATTTCAGGTGACTCAGAGATAATCTTGAACAAATTGAAAGAAACATTGGTAGACGAAAGAGATAATTGTGCTGTATTTTAGTATCTAAATAAATTAGTGGCACTCAAAGTGTTAAGAATATGCTCTCTCAAGAGTAATTTATTTAAATTGACGTTAAAATTTTTATATATAGATAAAGAGAAATATTTAAACTAATGTATTTTTCTATCATAAATATATTTTTTTTATTAAAAACAATTGTATTAATTAAATTCTTTAAAAAATCACCAACTATTTTCTAATCTGTAAAACACAACATAGATTAAAAAGGTGCAAGTATAGACATTCCGTATAAATACAAAAGAAAAATAAAACATTTAATTATACTTTATTTTGTATTAAACACTGTACTGCCTCATCTATAAACAAATTAAATCTTTATTGTCTTAACTAATATGACTTCTTGGCAATTGACTGCGGCTGAAAGTGGTTAACAATGTTCACCCACCAACTATCTTCAACTCCTTTTGTAAACTCCCTAATAAATCTATAGTTAAGTATGAATATCTTGTCCTTAAATTCCGGTTGTACTCTGAAATAAACATTTTTGCAGTGTTACTAAAGTGAATTGCCACAATATCTAACTCTTATCCCAGTAAAATTTAAAAATAAGGTATGGGCAATGGTTAACAAATTGGTTGAATCAACACTTAATGTTTCAACCATAAACCATTTCAAGCAACTTGAATTCAATGCAAGTTTACATAGAAATCTTTTTTTATTGAATGCCAGCCTTTGGAATTAATTAACTAGATAAAAGAATATTAACCTCTTCTTTATATTAAACCAACAACCTATCACAAGTAAAAAAAGTAATTCAATTTTCACTAGTCAAAATATTTGGAAAACATTGCCATTCTTCGTCACCTTAAAAAAAGTAAGAAAAAACAATGGCATAGAGTAAATACAGATTAAAAATGACCCAATAGTATACTTGATGTAAACTGCTATCTCTTTCACCTTGCTGGCTTATTAATGTGTGTGAAAGAGATAGTTGTATGTTTCACTCACCCTAATGTAATAGGTGGAAGATCCCCAGTCTCCTGCATTTGTTTCAGTCCTTTTAAAACATGATAGCACATTGTTATCTCAACCCATCTCTTATCAGACTCATCAAACATTACACCTACCTGGAATTAAGATAAAACATTACATAAATTACATAATATTCAAGTAGAATTTTGATAAATTTAAATAAAACCTATTGCTTCACTATGAATTGTTCACTCTTATGTTCTTTACCAGTTAAGGTTACCTTTTGTGCTTTAACTTTTATTTTCTTTCAACACACACATCCATTTTATTACTCTCCAGAACTAGTCTAATCAAGATAAAATTGAATTTCAACACACATATGACAATCACTAAAAAAGTAAGTATTAAAATTGAATTTGACTGCATAGACAGCTGAAGATAGTATGGATGGATTGTAAAGGGGAATGCATCCTGTTATGATGTCTGGTAAAGATGTATGGAAGAGTACATACTGTGCCAACCCTCCTAGATAAGCGTTAATTGATAATTAGCTAGATGTATAACAAGTATTATATAATCACCTATTTTAGTTGTAATAATTACCTGGTAAGGGAAAGCATAAAAAATATCTTCCTTATCTATAGGTAATAATTGTCTTTGAGAGACGGAGAGCTTGGTTACTGCATTCTTAAGGGAAGCTATAGCATCCTTTTCAACTAAACCTTCTAGACTTTGAAAATCACTCTTTTGTAGACATTCTGAAACAACCTGACACAAGATTTTAGCAGAATTGAATGGTATTGGACAAATTATATATGTTAATATAATAGAAACGGAAAATGCACAAAAACATGAAAACAAACCTGAACTGCATGCTTAGAAGCCTCAATGAATTCGTTCAAGCTAAATTCTTGGTCAAAGTAAGGCCTGATGATGAAGTTAGCGAACATCCAATTTTTGATGTATTTAATAAAAGATGGCCACATAACCGGCGGGAATTCCATCAGCTGAGGTAGTTTCCTTGATTCCGCATGATCATCGCAATAAGTTCGCTGCTGTATCGAAGGGCATGTTGAGACAATTGGGAGCTGAATACCTTTTTGTGAAAACTTCTCACATAACCTAAAAGTCCTTGTACTTAGAAGTTGCCTAAATGCTAAATTCATTTTCGTTGTATTATCTGAAAATATTAAATCTATTTAAGCTAAGAATTAATAAAAACGAGTTTCAAATTTCACAAATATAGTAAAAAACACAAACAAAAACATTTGTTTTTTAATATTTTGGAAAATGATTTTGCCAAAAACAGTAGTCACTATTCAATTGGTGATTGGACAGAAAAACATAAGTGTCAAAATTCCTGCATGCCTATTGGTTAATCAAAGAGAGACCCGTTTGAAAAGTCTGTAGTCCGAAACAATTTAATGTTTCTTTTTGTTGTTAGTTGAAGTTAAAAATGTAAATTAAATACTTAAGTTAAAATTAATTTGTTTTCTTTTTATCAAATACGATTTGCGACATAGATATTGAATCGCAAATAATTCTTTCTATTAAATATTTTACAAAAAAGGTAAAGTAAACCTTCAAAATCGGAATACGCTAAAAATATACGACATATGCTGTCAAAGTAAAATGTCATTGTCAATTGTCAAGAAATAAACTGTCACCCGATATAAACTTTATTCAAGTGGTGATTTTAAAACTTTTCAGTATAAGCACAAATTAAATATTATATATGGAATAATTTATCGATAAACACTTAACGTTCTATTCGAAACCAATACAAAAATGGACGACCAGGCGTGCCCCCGTTGTAAAACAACAAAGTACAGAAATCCCTCCCTGAAGTTGATGGTAAATGTATGCGGCCACGCTTTATGCGAAAGTTGTGTGGATTTATTATTTTTAAAAGGTTAGTTAACCATAATTATTAAAAATAATACTTTAAATTTTACGGAATTATTATTCAGTATACATTTCCTTATGATTTATTCTAAGTGTAAAAAGTTTTTAATTGTTAAAAAACCTTTGCGTATATTACAGGATCTGGTTCTTGTCCTGACTGTAATGTTCCCCTTCGTCGAAGTAATTACCGAGTGCAGCTATTTGAGGATTCTATGGTAGAAAAGGAAATAGATATAAGAAAGAGAGTATTAAAGGATTACAATAAAAAAGAGGAAGATTTTGCAACATTAAGGGAATACAATGATTATCTAGAAGAAATAGAAACAATTGTATACAATTTATCTAATAATATAGATGTAGTAGGCACTAATAAAAGAATAGAACAGTATAAGAAAGACAATAAAGAATTAATAATGAAGAATAAAGTGAAAATAGGTAAGTTTGCTGCCATCTTATTGTTTTTTTTATTATTTCAACTTTTACAGACTCTAGGTCCATACTCTTTTTTGCACAGTCTGTTTTTCTTTTCTTTTTTTGTTGCGTAATCCTTATAACACTAGTGAGTTCCTTCTTTTTTATTTTTTTAGTTTTCAATATTTTTTTATGTATTTTTTTCCTACTACTTCACAACAAAATTTTAATTTATAAAACTATAGCACAACAGTTGTCAGTGGGCGATAGATGTATCCTTGTACAGAGTCTATGTCATTTTTTTCAGACCTTCTATGATCGCTGTGTCTCTTTTTCTTATTGCCATTTGTATGTTGTAGGTGATGATTCTCTTGGTCGACGCATTTGTCGCCTTTTCTCATTGGCTTATACAGTAGAACTGCGATAACTCAAACCTCAGTAACTTAAAAACCTCTATAACTTCCAAAAATAATATGTTCCCTTCCCATCAGAGTCCAAAATCTCTACAACATAGACCCTTGATAATTTAAAACCTCTATAGCTTAAAATATTTTGTGTTTCCCTTGGACTTTAACTTATCGAGGTTCTATTGTTGTTCTATTGGAGGCCTTGAAAGACACTGGCCCAATCCGCTGAGAGCCATAAACAAGAAATAGAATAGAGGACTGAACCTTAGGATAAGGAAGACTAGGGTTTACTAAACTAAACTATCCCAGTGCAGGTAGTCTTGGATATGTGAAGATTGTATTATTTTTTCTTTTAACATTTACTGTCTTATTTAAATATTATCATTATCATCTATTTGCCCTTATCCTTTATGTAGGGTCGGCACAGTATGTGCTGCTCTCCCATACATCTCTATCAGCCGTCTGAATCCACTCCTTTCTTAAGCATATCCTCTTTCACACAATCCATCCATACTTACTTCGGTCTTCCTCTACCTTTGTAGCCATCCACATTCAATTTTAAAACTTTATGGTTTATTTCCCCATTGTTTTGTCACATAACATGTCCATACCACACTAATCTTTTTTTTCTTATTCAAATATATGGCTGATAATGGTCATGCAAGTTTAAAAATATTTTTAATTAAAATGCACTAATTTATTATAGATGGTTGGAAGGTTAGATATTTGTTAGGTTTCTCCAATATAGCTCTGGTTCTTGATAAAATAGTATAGAACACAGTCTGGAGCCATACATAGGCTACTTGTAAAGTCTTTTTAAGACTGCATACAGGGTTGTGGCTTAAAGTTTATTTGAATAAAAAGAACAAAACAACAACAGTTTTGTGATATTTATTAAGATTCCAGTAATTAAATTCAAGTATTTGTCAATTCTAGGTAGAGAAGAGATTGAATTAGAGGAGATTTTGGAAACGGAGAAGCAAATGGAAGAGTTAAGGAGAGCGGAAATATCTAGATTAGAGCAAGAAGCTAAGAAGCAGAAAATAAGAGAAAAGGAAGCTCTCATAGACGAGTTGATGTTTGCGGAAGGAGATGCTAAAGAGATATTAAATACATTTGCTCAAAATATTGCTAAGAAGGAAGAGATTGACTTGTTACCAATAGTTCCTAAGGTATATTTATTTATTAGTTTTATCAATAGATAAAAATTTTATATCCGCTGGGCATAAGTTGAACTAAATAATGCTTACTAACATCACCTGTATGTGTTCAAATAGTATCAGGAAATCTTTTGCACATTATTGCTGTTCTGTTTATGCTTCTTTTAAGTAATTTTTAAACGGCTGAACTGTTTTTGATAAAATTTGGTATAGATGTAGAGGATAGTCTGGAAGAACACATAGTCTACGCACTTTCGTTTTATTTAATTCCAAGCGAACGGAGTCGCGGGTAAAAGCTAGTTTAATAAAAGTGCCTTATATGTACTCCGATTATAGTTTTGGTAAAGTGAAATTTGGTATTTATTTTCTAGGTAACTCAGTTCTCTACGGGTGTGAAATTCTCGAGAGGTTCAGGCAGTCAACAGGGTGTACCAATATTAGAAGAAGGTCCATTATACAAATATGAAGCACCGATAATACCAGATAGATGTGGTCCCGACCCACCCTCTATACAGAATATTATTAGTAAAGGATATCTGCACCATGTTAGGTAAGTTTTTATACTCTGTGACAAACTAGAGAGTAAGAGTGATCTTTTTAATATTATCACTTGAATTCTAAAGTTTTACCAGAGCAATTTTTTATCTTAGATTTTCCTTATTTTATGCTAGTATAGCTACCTATTGCTCATGACTTAATCCAAATAAAATTAAAAAATATAACCTTTTTATTGTTAAAATACATATTGTCCTTTTTCTTTTTTATAAAATTAATTTTAATTTGGCTTACCAATAAAATATTTGTATTTGTATAATTGTATTCACAGAGCAGAGAATGAGACAGAGAAAGCGGGTGGGTATACCTCTACATTGCCTTGTCTGCGCGCTCTACAGGATGCTATGGCTGGGCTGTATCATGCGAGCTGACATGACATACAACCTGTTATTGAACTCGAGTAGGATGTACAGGATGTCCGGATATCACCCATTGGTTAAAGAACTTTTTCTATTTTTGAACATCCTGTATATTAATTAGCATGTTATACAAGTATACAGTTTAGGAAGTGTTTGGTTGATGTTTTGAAATATGCTGTATATCAATTTAAATTTATAATGTACAGAAGAAAATTATAGATTTTTGAACAACCTGTATATAGATTAGAATGTTGTACAAGTATACAGTTTAGAAACTATTTGGTTGATTATGATATTCCGGCACTTGCTGTATATCAAATAAAATCTACAGTATACAGAGTGTTCGAAAATTCCTTTCCATTAAATGTTTCAAATGTAATTTTACTTATTTAGTGTTTGTAAAATTGTGAAGTAATTTAACGAGAAAAATTGTCAAATTATTTTCTATGTAGTTAATGTTTTCGGTCTATTAACATATATTGTATACATTTTCAAAAAGTGAATATTTTCAAGAAAAAATTTGAATAATATTGCAACCGTTCAAATATTCAATTGTTAGAAACAATCTTATTTGTTAAAAACTAGTCAGTTCCAATTCATTTTAAGTTTTAAGTTCATTTGTTAAGGAACATCTGTTTTATAAATAAAGAAATAATTGCGAAATGCATTCTTTTTCATTGATATTGATTCATTTTCTTTCAAAATGTTTTTTTTTTAACAGATTTGGAGATGATTTCTCTTTATAGTTTTCCATACTGTTAAAAATAAATTGTTTGAACTGAGGACATTATAAATGGTTTGTTAATATTATTTTTCACATTAAAAAAAACACTCTGTAGATCACAAAGGCTCTGTCGTCGGTTTATATAAAATTATTTGTTTACAAATATAATAGGAAATACGTATTAATATTGTAAATATGTTGTTAAGGTTAAAAATATTCTGAGCTGTGAACTGTTGCCCTAATTAAAAAGTTTAAAAAAATGTGGTTTGATTTCCTAACAATTCTCCTTAATCTGTTATTTGATTTTCATTGAGCGTAAAACCTTCATCTTTACTTCGAGTGTTAACCTCTACTGCACTCACAGTCGTTATGTACCCTTAGTATTAGAAACCTTTAAGAGTCCTCCCTAATCTCAGTACAAGGCTTGACATCAAGGCGGAATTGTAAACAGTAAAAGTTAGGTAAGGAGAGGACGGGCAACCGCCCACGGCGCTGCACATAAAGGGCGTAAATGGAGCCCGTTTTGATATTTTTTTTTATATGAGTGTTTTGCTAAAACCTGCCCTAGAGAACATATTTCGAAAATAAAAGAGCCCAAAATATGACTTTCATGGTAGTAAATTCCGTTATTTTAGTGAGAAATCCTTTGATGATTCATACAGGTCTACGTGTTTTAATATCTCCTCGGTCAAATGGTATTTTTATAAGCATGCTCCGCCAGCCTCGCCAGCCGCGCCGGACGCACAAACGAGCGGGCAAATATTGTCGTTGCGATAAGGCGTCAAAGCACCGGCCGAAGCTCTGAGCTACGACAAATAATGCAACGATGTCGCCGCGCCGCGCATGCACTTTGTAGGGTCACCATTATATACACAAATTTCGGACATTCTAGTAAAATTAACAAAAATTATTTGGATTCGATTAAGAGGGGGCGCAAACTTTTGACTAAATTATCGCACAAGTTTTGTGCGATTGTCTATCGTTTCGCAGCCAATTTGACTGTTTAGTTGCGCAACTAAATATCGAGTAGTGTGCGCACCTCCATATAAACTCATAGGAATCAAAGCGAGACTAAACAGTTGTGCGATAAAACTTGTAATAAGTATAGCCTGTTACAGTGATACTGTAGCTTTTCAATACTTCTGTAGTTTCGGAGACTATACAATGCAAAGAATCAAATATTTCCTTTTTTAAATAATGAATGAAGAAAAAAAATGCAGCATTGGACACAAGTAAACCACAGTAAGGGACATATTACTATTGTAGCCGTAAATAAAATATTCTATTAACAGTGGTTTTAGTAAAATATAGAACCATGGTGACCCTACAAATGGATGTGAGACATCGCGGCTTAGAAAATACTGTTTGGTTTGTTGAGGAGATACCGTTATTATACAATGTTCAATGCCTGCGTTTCCGAACTAAGCAGATTATGGAGGAAACTTGTAAGGTAATTTATTTTCGAGCCGTTTCCCTTGATGTTAGAGTTCATATAGCAATAAACTTTATTCAGTAACTGAAAGCTTAAACACAGATAATAAAATTGATAACAGAATGTTTACACAATTGCATTTTTAGTATCATGATTAACAATCTCGTGTAAGGTTACAAATTCATATTTTTGCGTAGAGAGGAACGAAATTAATATAAATATCGACTTGGATAATTGAATTGTCAAATGCAATTTTAAAAGTAAGTACCCTCAACAACCACAAATACTGTGTAAAGTATTCGAACCTTAGTTGACGTATATATAAAATTGTGCAGTTAAAAACTTAAATAAAGTTAAAAAGTGTCTACAGAGAAAACATCGGCTGTTTAAATAAAAGGTAAGGAAGTGTTGGAAAATTCAAATTGTTACTTTTTTAATTTTAATAAAATGTAGAAGTTACGTTGTCGGTCGATCGCAGACAAAGGCAGTTTAGTAAAATTTGTCGTTTAAAGTTTTCTAATACTGCGGAGTTAGCGGAGTCGACTATCTAATAGTCCGGGAGGGTACAGCGTAGGGTACATTGTACGGGGTAGGGTACAGGGATACAATTAGCATGTGAACAGGCTGCGTTGTGCGCCGTAGCGCCGCGGGCGTGCACTAATTGGCCCTGTGTAAACTTGCCCCGTTATCGGACTGCCCGAAGCGGTTATAATATGCTCGGTTAATATGGAATAAGCTTTTATGTTACCATTTTTAAAGTAAATTAAGAGGTTCCGGAGTACTTTGAAAATCAAGTTGGTAGTTTTCTTAGTTAAGTATATGTCAACACGTAAACATACTACTCGTTACTTAGTTTAGTTTCTCAAAGGGTGCAAATAATGTTACACTCGAGTAATAAAAATCTAAAAACCAAACAGACCATGGCTTATAAAGAAGAGGAGGCTTATAAAGAGTCTATCTATACTAAGTTTTGTATGTATTGAAATAACTACTGAGTCGTTTTAAAAATTCTTACACCATTAAAAAGCTACGTGATGAGACAGTAATATACCAACTATGGTATGTTACAGACTACTACACTACTACAGACTACTAAGTCGATACATGAAAATCCAAAAATCCAAATCTATATTTGTATTTTTGGATACTTATAATATTAGTATAGATAATGAATGCTATAAATTGTTTTTTATTTTTTATAATATTTTTAAATATAATTCTTTCCACACTTAGTGACTCTCAAATCCGCCCGCCCAGTACACTAATATTGACTTCTTATTACCGTTCCGACCGCACCAACGTCGACGTCGCATCAGATCGGTACACCCAGCAACGACACGACAAATTGATACCAATGCTTTCCAGTTACTGTCCGTTGTGTTCTAATATTTGTACTATAATTACAGATGAAAATGTTTTTCTCATACCAATTATATGATCCCGTGCGACTTCGTCCGCATGAAATTATTACAATTTCATTTTATTATTTAGATTTGTCAAATTATCAATAGCAAATGTCAAAATGACATGACATTACAAACCTTGGAAATCTTGCTTCCTTGATGTTGGCAGCAACTTATGGTCACTTTCCCACATTAGGGTGTTATTCCAAAATATTTACCACATAAGTTTAATGGCGTGAAAATATATAGCCTAAAGCGTGATGTAAGTGTAGGGCTTTTTATTAAAAAAAGAATTATTCAAAAATATGCTGTTATTGCTGACATCTTTGGCAACAAAGAAGTGTGTGTTTACGCTTTATTATAATAGTATAGATATTTAACAAGTTACGTGCAACTGATTCGCTCTTCGATTGATTTCTTTTAAATAAAAAATCATTTTGAATTTAGATTTCCACCCGTCTTTGTAGACTAATGGATGAGGCATCGGCATTTCAAGCTAGGGATTGTGGGTTCGAGTCCCACTAGGGGTATGCACCAAATGAAATTTAACTTTTAACTACGTTTAGATAAATTAAGTAACATTGGTGAATTAAATATAATTTAAAATAGCATTCCCGCGACTTTATCAAAACAACAGTAAGCATGTTCTATGGTTTACCTCTTTTCGAAATTTCATCGAGATCCGTTCAATAGTTTAGGCTACAAACTCTAACAACCATCTATCCATCTAATCTTTCGCATTCATGATATTAGTTAGAAGTAAGATTTGTGAGGAACTATCGAATATTAATCTTCATAAAGCTTTTGAAATAATTTTATTAATTACATTGAATATAACAACGGTAAAAAACAAAAATTAAACACAACCACGACTTTTCTCGTAATCGATTTTCAAGAAAAATTCTCAGTCGCATTGATTTTAGATTCAGCTATCAATAAAGTCGCATTTTATTTGTTTTAAAATAGTTTGTGCAATTTTACGAAAGTTGGTGTTCCGTAAGCCACAGGACGTATAATTTTACGTTCACCAGATAGGGATGTTACTTTGAATTTGAAAAGAAAGGACCTGTCGAGTGCGCGAGTTCCTTACTGTTGAAAACGAACAATTATTTCTACAAGTGTTCGTTCTCTTGAAATAATGAAGACAGTACACGTTCAAAAACTTATAATAAGTATTATTACTCCGCCTCCTGGAAAAGTGGCCGAATTTTCTCATTGCCTAGTCCATTTCTCTAAAGTCAAAGTATCAGACTAGACGTGAAACTCTTTGGTAACATTTAATTTGTAATATTGTATGAAATTTAGTGGAGATACGCTCAGTCTGAGGCAGTTCCAGTTAAACCCTGCACGGTTGTTATAACAAACAGTGCACACGTGTGCTTTTATAAGAATAAGGGTAAGCGACAAAGGAAATAACTATAGCAATTTATATAAAAATCTGATGTAGATGGTAAAAATACTTTCTATGATTTCTGATTGACGATATAAAAGAAGCCGAAATAAAGAAAAATAAATCACTTGGTGGAAATCTAAATTATTTTCCAAAAAATTGTCTCTAAAACGGCTAAGCCGATTTCAACGGTGCTTTCACTCCGGAGTAGCTGAAATGGATAGACATATGATATTATAGGCTACTTTTTTAAATTTCGCGCTATCAAAATGGCGTAACTGGTGGTCCAAATTTGCGCTAAAAAAGTTTGCGGGCGACTCTTTTATAAATAAAATCTAATATTTCTATCAAAATTAATGTTAATAGTCATTTGTTACTTCTTATTTGGTCAATCAGAGGGTCTATCACGAACATCTGTACGACAATTCCATGTAATTCGTTGGTTTACTTTACGTCTGGTATTGGCTCTTCACAAATACTTAGTTGATGGCGTTACGATAACGTTCTCATGAATATTCTTGATGAGCCTGATGTTTTCCAGATCAAAGGGTTTCTGTGCTACCCTATAGCCGGTGTAAATAAGTATCCCAGAGAACATGGTCTCGGTACACCTTTCTCACGTCGACATTCATTCTTCTACTCTAG